TGCGCTGTTCGGCCATGGCAAAATGCCTCAAAGGTGATACAAGCCACACGCCTTGAGGCGTTGTGGTCGGGCGTGCTAACTGCAATCTTGCAACGTGCAAGCTGGCAAACCGAGATGCCTAGGGTTTAGGGTTTAGGGGTTTAGGGTTTAGGGTTTAGGGTTTAGGGTTTAGGGTTTAGGGCAGAGAAGCTTTGACTTTCCTTATGTCACAGCCCTGTTAGCACAAATGTCCTTTTTGCTCCTTGCTATTGAGGGGGAGCAAACCCTAAACCCCTAAACCCTAAACCCTAAACCCCTAAACCCCTAAACCCTAAACCCCAAACCCCTAAACCCCTAAACCCCTAAACCGTCCAGGAATCGAGGCTGAGGTCAACGGCTCACTCAGATGACTCGCACATCAAAGATCCGAGGTGGCCTCCATGCTGGAGTCGGCGGGCTGTCCGGCTTTTTGACTGGCGGGGCGGGGATCGTCCAGGGCTTTAGGGTTGAGGGCCGCGGCATTTTAGAGCTTGCGGATTTGGAGTTTTCGTGTGGAGGGCTTGGCTCAGTCGAAACTCGGCTCCTTGCGTATCACCGGCCCGGACAATGCACGGCAGTCTTGAAAAATAATGGCATAATATGATATGATTACCTATGATCTTCTAATATTATATATCCCTTTCCTTTGCTGTGATGATGTTCATCGTGCGGCCATGCTTTCTCTTGTGCCACTGTATCTCGCCATCAACCGCAGCTGCTACCGGCAAAGAAAACATACCCTAAACCCTAAACCCTAAACCCTATCCTGAACCCTAAGCTCTATAAACCCTAAACCCTAAACCCTACACCCTACTTGCAATACTCTTTGGCGAATCACCACTCGAAGCCGCACCCGAGAAGATGCATTCCCCGAATCCCTACACCTCAGACAAACGGAGACCATCCCAAGACACCAAACTTTCCAAACCCTGACTAAACCCTAAACCCTAAACCCTCAACCCTCAACCCTAAACCCTAATCCTGGACCCTAAACCCTGATCCTAAACCCCGAAACCCTAGCCCCTTTTATCCCAAATCCCAATACTTAAGGCACTCCTCTTCGCAAGTTGGACGATGTTGCTTGCAAGCGCGTCCAGGCCCTTGCCTAACAGACTGTCGTGGTCGTGATGCTGGCTATGAATCGGTTTAGGGTTTAGGGTGTGGGGCTGAGGGTCTAAAGAGGTTTAGGGTTGATGGGAACATGAAGGGGTTCCTGAAGCGTTACCACAAGTTGCTATAAGTGAGGAATGCTGGTGACTATGGGAACAGAGATGAAACATGAGATAACCCCTGCAGCAGCATGATTTGTAGACATGCTGTTTCTTCGTAGGTTGGTGGCGTAGGCCAACAACATCTTCCATGCTTTTGTCCAAGTGTCATCCCTGCCGCTGGCCCGCAGATACCCGAGCGACCCAAACTGAAATCTAAAAGCTTGGGGTCTAGGCCCTAACTCTCTTCCTGAACCCTGAAGCCCGGAAGTTCGAAACCCTAAACCCTAAACCCTCGACCCTAAACCGTAGACCCTAAACCCTAAACCCTAGACCCTAAACCCTCGACCCTAAGCACTGGGGCTGTGGCTCTGCTCATCCTGGGGCTCTCCCGGCAGAGCCCAGCTCTTCGTCCTGTGGCCGCCAGTCAACGACCACTCAACTGGGTTCCTTTAACGGACTTAGAGGGTTTAGGGTTTAGGGTTTCTATATAATTTAAGTTACTATAATGAGGAAACCATCGTATGTAATTTAGATCCCTATTATGGTAACTTAGATGAGGTTTCTTAACAAGAACCCAGCGTCAAGGACGACTACCGTGACTGCTAGTTTAGGGTTTAAGGCTTCTTCTTTTCGGGCTTGGGGAGTTTAGGGTTGTCTGGGTTTAAGGCTTCTTCTTTTAGGGCTTGGGGAGTTTAGGGTTGCTTTTAGGCTTCAGGAGTTTAGGCTTTATGGTTTAGAGAATTTCAGGTTTAGGGTTTAAGGATGCTTTTTTAAGGGTTTAGGGATTTCAGGGTTTAGGGTTTCGGGTGTAGGGAGTTTAGGGTACGACTACAACTGCTGCAACTGCAAGGGCAAGTGCTAGTGCATGTGCTACTGCGACTTCTGCCGCCATTACAGTACTGCCCCTGCTAACCCTAAACCCTAAACCCCCAAACCTTAACCCTAAACGAGCCGGCCAAAGCCGACTGCCATTCAGATAACCGTTGAAACTGAAGTGGTGCCACGCGCTGACAGCTGGGCAATTTACACCGAACAAGCCTGGACCACTGAAACCTGACCCTATATGGGTAGTTCTCTAAATTAGGGTCCGTTTTTGAGTCCCCAATATAGTACGGCACCCTTATAAAAGGACCCCTGAAAAGGACCCTAATTTAGAGAGCTGCCCATATCTAAACCATAAACTCCGAAGCAACGATGATATCGAGCAAATCACCGTGGCAACCTAATGGAGCTACCATCTTCTACAAGAAGTCTGTGCACACAGTACTGTCTACTCCAATCGAATCCCTAATCCTGTGCATCCTGTCAGACCTGTTAGACCGACAGCTTGAAAAGATACTGAGTCCAAGACAAAAGAGATAGCCAAGGGCTGGCCGGCGCATCGTCCTTCGCCAGGGCACCTGATGCGTGTTGTTCGGCTCCAAACAGAACGGCCTCGCTACCCTAGCCGTCACATGACATCATACCACACCTTCTGCTTTGAATAACCCCCCACACAGCACTCAAACCCTTAACCCTGCTTGAACTATCTGTATCCCGAGTTTCGGACCAACTACCCACAACTCAGTGGAGTCTCGGCACACTCGAGAAAGCGGTAGCAAAGGCTCGGGTTGCTTCTGTTGCAGAAAACATGTACCGCGACTATGTATTCACACTCAGTGGAACTCCAAGGGCTGAAACCGACTCCTTGGGGAACAGAACTGCGCGCCATGTCTGCAGGGACCCATAGGGGCCCCGACCTGACTTGCTTCGGCCAGAGGCCTCGACAGCACGACAAAGTGTTTGGGTTTTGGGTTTGGGGGGAGGGGGTTCAGGGGGTGGGGCTTGGGATTTCGGGCTTTAAGGGTCTGTGGTCCACTCTTCACAGATGCAAACCACTCCACAAGGTCGCCGCCACGGCAGCCGCCGAACCGGCGGATGCAAAAAGCAGCACTGCAAAGAACTTCATTGTACCTCGGAGGAATCGATGCATTTCGACAATGGCAAGGTAAATACCAAAGGGATTTGGATCTTGGATGAAGCCGGATCTTCTAGTCGTCGTTCGTGATGTTCGAGTCGTGGGTCTTGACGCTGCCACAAGAGAAGCTGCGTTGCCACAGCTTCTGGGGGATGACGGTCACTGTCTGTCCATCTGCTACTTCTGATCCTACTCAATCCGTGACTGCTGCTTCAAGCACTAACAACACACGCGCCCCCTGAAACCGCAGGGGACCGTCACTTGATTATTGGGTTCCCGGTCCCGCGCGCATATTACTGCGTTCTGCTACTACCACTCCTCCTCCTCCTCGTCCTCCTCGGGCTGCTGCTTCTGCTACTGCTACAGGCAGAACGGTAGTCGTCGTGCAAATGTTGCTGCTGCTCCACCTCCTCTCTCAACTGCTCCTATGCCCATCCACACGGCTACTTGCGTTACCTCTTTTCTTGATGAAAATTGTTGGAACTCGGACTCCCATACGGTCGTTTCTCGGAATGCCGCACAATACCGCAATGCTACCGTCATAGGCCTGGCAGGAGTTTAGAGTAGGGTTTAGGGTTTGGGATTTAGGGCTTGGGGTTTAGGAGTTTAGGGGTATATACTGCCATCACGGCTGGTACCGGCTGACCTGGTCTTCTTGTCATTGCTGCTTTTGCTCCGAAGCTTTCACCTCTGAGGCCGCAGCTACTGGCAATGGGACAGAGACACGGGAAAGTGGTCACTGATGAGCAAAGCCTCATTCAAACGCCGGCGGACATAGACATTCATCTATGTTGGATGTTCATGATATACCATCGAAAATGACCCAGAGCTGTGCTTCGCTAATGCCAAAGAAACCAAGAACATTGAAGGCCAAACCGCAGATTCCAAACCAAAAGCAAAAGAACACAAGACCAACCAAAAACACAACTGAATGGCCAAACCCAACCAATGGCAACAAAAGCAAGAACCGTTGCAACGACGATGTTCTCGGAAGTTCTACCGAACCGAAAACCGAAGAACCGAAGAGAACAAAGCCGAGAAATCTCCCCATGTTGCTAGAAGTTCGCCGAACCATGCTGATGAGCAGAGTCTACCAGGGTAGGAGCTTGGAAGCGCCTCTGCGAGCAAGTGAATCGTTTAGGAGGGTAAAGGAACTCGTATCCCTCTTGCTACCCATGCCTCCACGGTACTAAATCAACAAGCTTCCTGCAGAACCTCTGAACCCGCGGCCGGCGCATGGTGCTTTTTCGAGGATGTCCGAACTTCTGCCAAGGCGGTCTCGGTCTCTGGGAGAGCCTGAAATCACCAGCACCTGCTTGGAGTCCGCGATGGTGCGATCACCATCGCCCTTGTTGGAACTAGCGCCCTTGTTTGCAGCGCTGCCTGACTGTTCAGCTCAAGCAAAACCGCCACCTTCGTCGCATGAGCTGGCTTTCTCTTGGCAGCCGAAGTCGGCACAGGGATCAGTAACCTCCTCGAAGCCTGATGCAGAAGCACCATCACGTCGCATGCCAAACTGCCATCCTTCTGAGATAACCTCGGGAATCTTCATTGCATGGTCGTCTGGATTCATCTCCTTGGCCGAAACCCAAATGCCATGCTCGCCGGCCACCTGGGCAACAAGCTTGTAGCCTTTGGCCCGCATTAGGCCGTCCAATGCGGCCAAGGAGGCACCGGTGACCCCTCCGCCCCAAACGCCATCGGACTGGTACGAGCGCACCTGCCTCTCTGAGCCCCGGAAGTAGCTGCTGAACTCGATGGCCACCACCCGCGGCTGGAAGCGGCCAAAGTCCAAGGCCTTAACGAGCCAGTAATCATTCCAATCCACGTCAACCGTAAGGAGATCGAACTCACACGGCACCTTATGCATCTGGAATTTGTCGTTGATGTTCTCCGCCGTCATGAATGCCTGGCGCAAGCGCACTGGTGCATCGTCGGCTGCCTGGAGCAGGTCCTGTCCAGGGCAAGCAGGGCAGGGTCCATTGACCGAGGCCCCGGGGGCACCATCCAAGAGCAGGCCCTTCCAGCCGCAGTTCAGGCGAAAGTGGGCCGAGTTCAGGACTTCGGGGCGACGGCTTCCGAACTCCACGAAGTAGGTGTTCGTGGTTCCGATGCCCTTGAAGATGGCGTCGAGGTAGCGGTCCTGGTTGAACTGGCTGCAGATGGGAGATGCCTGGACATCACTGAAGTCAATCACTTTGCTGCTGCTCAAATTCGAGCTTGGCACACCACAGAATTGCTTCGTCCAGGCCATACCCTTGTTCTCGCAGTGAGTCGGCTCCAGCGAATGTCTCTTCACCTTGGCACCTCTCAGCTGACGAAACGCCGAGGCCACCAGGGGCAGCAAAAGCACCACGGCCACCTTCATCGCGCTTAGACGGATGAGCACTACGTTGCGGACTGGCGATTGCCAGCGAGCCCAAAGGAGCTGTGATCGTTTGGGGCTTCGAAAACTTTTTTGAGTTATTCTGCAACACGGCCTCTTGAATCCTCCGATAAACTCCAAAAACCCCAGACACCCTCAGCCCCCTATCACTGCCTCCTATCACTAGACTTCGCTCAGAACACGCCCAAAAGCCCGTCCGTGTGTCACTGTGCAACCTGGATTCCTCAAGCGAGGCTGCCCAGCGGAGCAGTTCAAGAGTCTGCCCTTGCCAACTTTGGCATTGGGCTATTTTGCACTGTCGTGCTGAAAAACATTGGCAAACATGACATTCGCCAGTTTAAGCAAGAGTGGCCGCCCCTCAAAATAATTTGGACATGGACTGTTTGAGGTAGATACCTTTTTGGAATTATCGGCACGTATAACTTTATGGCACCATATTAGTATATGTGTATGAGTATGTGCATATATTTGTATGTATAAGTATATATAAACACGTTGTAAAGTTGCCAAAAAACATATGTATAGATAGGAAGATGGACAGATACATAGATAGATAGATAGATAGATAGATAGATAGATACATAGATAAATGGATACATAAATTGATTGGTTGATTGGTTGGTTGATAAGTAGATGGGTATATATATATATATACATAAATATATATGTTCATATACATATATTAATATGTATATGGGAAGGATCCGGAATTAAATTAGGCACTGTTCTGTGTTGTTATTCTGTGGTTTGTTTTTGTGTTGTCCTTCGTCCTAAAACGCAACGTATTGGCTATTTTCAAAAGCTGCAGCAAACTTTCGGGGCATTGCAATCTGCCCACTTCCTCATACATCTTAGACACACTACCTCATCTGGCGATTTTGTTTCAAAATATATTTTGGACACTTCCCCTCATTCGGATACTCCGGATTTTCAACAGGCCCCCTCATTTGGCGATTCCGGTTCATCATAGGTCTTGAGGCACGCCTCCTCATTTGGCGACTCCGGTTCATCATATATCTTACTCAGTTGGCGACTCCAGTTAAACATACGTTTTGAAAAACTTGCCTCTTCATTTGGCGACTCCACTTTATCATACTCTTAGTCACGCCTTGCATTTGGCGATTCCTGCTCATCATATATCTGAAGACACACAGGATAGGGGGTCCT